TTTTTACTGTAAAATTATTATTGATATTATTACTTTTATATTACTTTTCTTAAATACTTCTTTTCTTAAATAATTATTATTTTTGATGAATATGTTTATTATATATACTTTATATATACATTTATTTATTTACAGATATGTTAATTAGTAATTTATTTATATTTATTAATAATTTCACATTTAAAAAATATTTTAATTTAATTAATTTATGCAGCCCTTCAAACAAACACAGCAAACCTGGAGGGTTTTTTTTATCACATTTTTTATCAGAAAAAAATCTTTCAGCCCTTGCTATATATTTAAACAGTTGTTTGTTTGTTTTGGGTTAATTGAACATTGTTAGTGCAAATCATTCTGATTTAAATATCACCAAGGAAAGCATCACTTAGATTGGGTTGAAAATAATAAACTAATCACTAATGTTACTCTTTGTGTAACAGTGAATTTATGAATGTCATCTGATTATGAAGTTTTAATGAAAATAATTACTTTTGCATATACAAAAATATGATCATATTTGGGTTGAAACAGTAAAAATCTGATCTGCTGGTTGTATCAGAAATAGTATGAGAAGTGTTTAGTATTGTGGTAAAGAGCGTTGTATCTCGTGTCAGGTGCGGATCAGAGAGGCGTCTGGTCTTCCTCTCAACCTCTCTAACTTCGTCTTCTGTCAGTACACCTTCTGGGAACAATCAGAGCCCGCTGTGGCTCCGCCCATTGTCAGCCCGGACACGCCCCCCTCACAGATGGCCGACGCCCACTTCACTGTGCACTTTGATCACTGCAGGGTAAAAACATTCTCTAGAGTACCTGTGTTGTCTTAGTATAATTGAGATACTATTTGCTTTTTATAGTTTGGATTTTATATTTTCTGTTTTATGTCAGTAACTGTATTTTTTATGTTTTTAGTTTTAGTTAATAATAATCCTAGTGGAACATAAGCAGTTTGCCACACTGCTTACAATACTCATAGTGTACAATGCCAGAAAGCTAAGAAACAAGATATGCAATAAAGATGGAGAATTTTTGTTGTTGATTTTTTTTTTATTCTTATTTTTAAATATTTTTTTATTATATTTATGTTTATTTTATTGGTATTATTACTAGTGCTTATTTTTTATTTCCTATTTATTTTTATTGTATTTATTTTTTATTCATTAATTTATTTTTTTAAATTAATTTATTAATTTATGTACTTGCTTACTAATTATCTATCTGTTTACTAGTGCTCCTAGAGATGGCATAAGATCTGAAGAACTGAAATGTATTTATTTCTTATTTGCTATTATTTCTTATTATTCTTTTTTGTTTTTATTTATTATTATTATTAATAATAATAATAATAAATAATAAATTATTTATAAATAATAATGTTTTTATCAAATATCACAGTGGAAGATTTAATATAACAGCTATTGTTATTACTGTTGTTATTTTTTGTTTATTTACTTTTGATAATATTGTATACAACTCATTGAAATATTATTGTTACTATGATTATTTTAAATGTTGTTACTCGTGAGTTTGCCGTGAGTGTGCTGATATGATATTAAATGATAAATAAATCAATCTGCTTTCGTTGCGTTTCTGTGGGCAGGATTTCCTGGTGCATGTGACGGAGGAGTTTCTGGAGTTCATCTCAGACGGCGCTCTGGCCATCGAGGTCTGGGGTCACCGGTACGCTGGGAACGGCCGGTCTGTGCGGGAGCTGGATGCACTGCAGGCCAAGAGACGCACGCTCAGAGACAGGTGCGTTTCCTCGCACTAGGGCTGGGCGATTTGGCAAAAAATTAAAATCTCGATTTTTCCAGAACATTTGACCGATTCTCGATTTTTTACGATTTTTAACTTATCAACTTGAAAATGTAACTACAACATGATTCAAGTAGCTTTTTCTTTATTAACCCACTATTTAAAGATAATTCTATTTCAAGTGCACCACACATGAAGTTGTCAACATGATGTAAATGTTAAACAAATCACTTGTTAAATATCTTTGCAGAAAAGATGCATGAACTACAACTGCATTTTGTACAAACTTGTCTTATACATAAAATGTGTTCAGAAATAATACGAGGAAAATGCTTTTAAAAAATTTCAAAAGTCAAGGTAATTCAAATTCTAAGTGACTAAAGGTATAACACCAGTAGACTAACTATAAATGTTCTGTAAAAGCAACAGCAGCTTTCAGCCTGTCACCATGATGCAAACATGAAATATCAGACATACAGTAGTAGTTCTTTACAGGTTTTTTATTCGATTGCGCTGCTTTTCCACTGTTTTTTCTGTGTAAACATGGATGTGTTTGGCTTTTGCGCTCGCGTCTCTTGCAGCGTCTCATGCATGAAACGGCTTTCTAAAAACACTGCGCTCAAGTTAAAAGAAGTTCACTCCCATCTTCTTGCATGTATTTCCTATTCCACTGCCCGTGTCGCATCTTTGTCAACACAAAAGCGTATTCTGTGTGAATGGCCTCTAGCGATATGAGCAGTTAATCACGTGCGCCGACATGCGGTTGGGTCGTTCTTTTCTCTTTACTGTTATCACTGGCATATTGCCAAAGTGTCTAATTCTAGCATTTGGTAATATTTCTATTCAAAATCCCGATTCCCCGATTTCTAAAAAATAAAATCGTGGCAAAACATTAAATTCAAATTAATCGATAAAATCGGGGAAATCGCCCAGCCCTACCTCGCACACGTCGATTCTGAATTAATGCGATTATACTGAGATTTTGACAATATTGCGATTAAACTTTATCTCATGTAAACGCAATACTTCGATCTAAATAATGCGATTAAAGGAACACTCCACTATTTTTGAAAGGTAAAACTCAACTGTTTAACTTTAGGGGAGTTGGAAAATGAGCCTATTTTCAAAAATAGTGGAGTGTTACTTTAAGCTCATAATTGCAGCAAACTTTGGCGCAAGTGCGCATGTGCTCGTGACGTACATGAATAACGTGACATATTGCACCTGCAATAATACGCAGATCAGAAACGATGGTGGAGAAGAAAGCATCGCATTTCTGGGGAAAACACAGCTCGCTGCCACCAATCTCTGTTCTTTACCCTCATCCAGAAACGGCGAGTATAACTCCAAGGCAACGTAGGCAAACGAATTGCCATCACATTTCTATGGCGCCGAAAAAGCATGGAATTTTTGCAAAATACTATCTATTTTGATGCCAAAATTTCAAATAAGAGAGGAAGTGACAAATATCGGTATCGGAATCGGCCAATAAGTGTTTGTTAAAATCGGTATCGGTATCGGCCCCAAAAAATCCTATCGGTCCATCCCTATAAATAACATAAGGCTATTTAGTTTGTTTAATAAAAGAACAAGGTATAAACCTGTTCTATAGGAAGGGTTCTATAGTGTAGGGCCTAAAATAAAATAAAATAACACTTGGCAAGCACCAAACTCGTTAAAATCAGAGTTGGTGAATTCATGAAACAATGTTTCTCGCTTGTAACTCCTTTATTGATTCTAACAATGCCTGAGAATGCGATATGGTTTAGTGCAGTGGTGTAATGTAACGAAGTAATAATACTTCGTTACAGTACTTAAGTATTTTTTGGGAGTATCTGTACTTTACTTTTACTTTTACTCAACTACATTTCCTAAATAAAATGTATACTTTTACTCCGATTCCCCGAAGCATATTCGTTACTTACTACAAAATAGTCAGAAGTCAGAAGAACACGGGCTGCAGGAAAGCAGGTTTGACGAATCAGTGGTCTGGCCTCTGCAAGTTCCACTCCTAAAAAACACCTTTGCTCATGTGCAAACAAGTGCACACATCACCGCGGATGATTCATTTTCCAGTCAAGTCGAGTCTGGGGCGTGCAATACAGCATCGTCTGCAATAATATGGTAAGTGTTGTTGTAATGATGTGCAATCAAGAGTACCGTTTTTCTGCAGATATCAGCATGATATCACATTTAATAATCATTTTATACAAGTTCAGTAAAGCAATAAGTTACTTACATTTTAGACATAATATTGCTTGTTTTGCTAAATTTTGCCAACGAAAATAGTTCCAAACAAAGATCACACACTGTTTTGCATCTCTGAGCAATAGGCTGTGTTTACTTATTGAATGAATCAGCTTTTTGAACGAATCGGCTGATAAAAATGATTCAGTCATTCAGTCAACACAGTCAAAATGCTTTGTTTCTGAATGAATCAGCTGATGGTTGAATCTCAATGACTCACTCATTAACAATCACTTGCTGCCACCTACTGGCGGTTTTAATGTCACATTAGTGTTTTATGTTAAAAACAAAACATTATTTATGCATCTGTAACTGCAGTTTAAATGCATCCATGTCTCCTCTGAGATACATTAGACTGTGTAAATACATCTAAATGCTATTTCAGATGCAGGTTCCAGAAATGTTTTCTTACGTTGGAGTGAAAGACACTAAGTACCGGATGAAGTGCTTCTTATTCTTACCCAAAAATACAAAATGGAAGAAAGAGTTAAAACTGAACACAATCTTGCTACTCAAGCTGTGCATGAACATTTTTTATATATATTTATTTGCTTCTTTTCCATTTTGTATTTACTTGTACTTTTACTTTCAATACTTAAGTACGTTTAAGATAAAAATACTTTTTGTACTTAAGTACAATAAATATCACATACTTTAAGACTTTAAGTACTAAAACGGTGACTTCAACTTCTACTAAAGTCATTTTCTGGTAAGATATCTGTACTTTTACTTGAGTATGGCTTTCAGGTACTTTATACACCACTGGTTTAGTGCGATTATCAAACCGTAAAGACTGTGTTGTAATTATATAAATATGTAATCTGATGTGCCTCGTTGTGATATTTTCATGTGAGCCGCTCATGATAGCAGTGTTTTCAGTGTCGAACTCAGTCTCTGCAAGCGCTGTGAGATTGAGTCACTCATAACATGCATTTGACAATGCAACATGCACCAAACATCATTATTATTATTATTATTATTATTATATTAAATACTTCAGTTCAATAGTATTATAGTGATATTTCATTATTGATTTAACTTTTATAATTTGATTTATTATTAATAATAATAATATTATAATAATAATAATAATAATAACAATTATGGCTGGTATATTTTCTCAGGTCACTGGTCACTGCCAGATGTGGCATAATGTTAGTTTTTGGCCCTGCGTGTGCCCTCATCTGTGTGTGTGTGTGTGACAGGTGGAGTGAAGTGTCACGTCAGATCGAGCTGTGGGTCTCCATACAGGAGCTGAATGAGCAGGGCGAGTATTCGTCTGTAGAGCTTCATCCCAGCAGAGACGTCAGCACTGGAGGAGTGTTTCAGCTGCGCCAGGTGAGACTGCAGTCTGCATTTATTAATCAGCTGCTGATATTCAGGAGCATGAGCGTCTGTGTGTGTGTGTGTGTTCAGGGTCACTCGCGAAGGCTGCAGGTGAGCGTCCTGCCGGTCCAGCACTCGGGGACGCTTCCGTTGCTGGTGGAGGCCGTGCTCTCTGTCTCCATCGGCTGCGTTTCCGCTCGATCCACCAAACTACAGAGACCTCTAGACAGCTATCAGGTCAGTGAGACAGACACAAACACAACACACACGGCAGAGCATTTAGACTATAAGAAAACATTTTCATTACTTCAAGTGATACAAACATTAACTGAAACGTCTCTGTGATGTATGTAATCCTCGTTCCCTGAAGGAGGGAACGCAGATGTCACGTCGGTGACCGACGAATTGGGAACTCGCTTAGAGACACCAATCTACTTTGATTAGCAAGCCGACACCAAACCGGGGCCTCTCAGTGCCTCTACCCGAGAACTGCTGGGCAAAGCTCTCTACCACGTCGTCGAAGAAGCCGGTCTGGGACACAGGGGCATTGAGGAACCGTACCTTGTTGGCGTCCCTCATGTCGGCCAGGCACAGCCAGAGATGGCGCTCCTGGACCACAAGTGTGAGGGACAGCCCAAAGGGCAGGACCTTGTACTGATACAGACAGGGCAGCTTCTCCATAAGCCGTATAAGCACCGCCAGTCAGACCAGACAAATGCCTACAGGCCCGGGAGGGGAGCGACGGGTTTCCCCGCCAGGAGGAGGCGGTCTTAGGACACAACTGCATCGCTACCGACTGCTCTACCGGGAGGATCGCCATATACCCCCTAGCTGCACCCCCGTTGAGGGTGGTGAGGGAGGAGGAACCAGCAGGTCGGTTTCTGGCAGTAAAAGGTGCTGTCCATGACCTGGTGAGCTCGTCATGCACTTCCGGGAAGAAAGGCACCGGGGCGGGGCGCTGAGAACCAGCGCGAGC